GTTGGGGTTTCTGGGAGTTGCAGTTCAAAAACATCTGAGTAACAAAGGTTAAGAACCACTGATCTAGGCCACATTAGGAATGAAAGATTGGGAACTGCTTTGGCTAGTCATTACATGGACAACAACCATCCTGTAAAGGATTTACAGTTCTGGGCTATAGATGCTTCTCCACACAAGCAATGATAATGCTCTGTTGAAAAGTTAGATTGACCAGATACTGAGGCTGAGTATACTGGTACCCAAAGATGTAAATGAAGAAATATATGCTCTCCTTTTTCTTTAGCAGTATGACTTCTTTTGTATGCTTGCCTTGTAAGGCAGGAGTGTGTGGATTAATCAGAGTGTCCTTGAATAACAGCTGTGTAAGATAACATCCATAAAGAGGGTATCTTTCTTCCAGCAATAGGACCAGTACTCCTTTGAAAGAAGATGTACTTTAAGTGAGATATTAGTGATGGGACTCGGTAAATGGCATCCTTGGCCTTAAATTCAGAAGTTATTGTTAGATTCCACTAACTTTATTTAGCATGGTACAGCTTTAATGAGTTTTATAAGTTGGTTTCCCCAGTTGGTCACAAAACACAAGCAGATTTTATTTTCTGTTGTCTGTAATTTCCAATTTTTTATATAACCGAGGGCCATTAATTCTGCAGTCCTCTATTCAGTGACTCAGGAAGAAGCCTTATTAAAAGGAGTATAATTTACTTTTGAGTAGGCATAAATTCATCTGTAACAGAAAATTGTTAAATAAATAAAGAGAACAGCAGGCATAAACACAGTCTGCAGCAGGAAAAATAAACACTGTGAGGGAACAAATGCCAACAGGTTTTTAATATACAATTTTGCCCTTATCCTAACAAAAATATTTACTCCCACCCTTTCAATAGTTAAAAACAGATCCCTGGAATTAAGACAGGGACAGCCTACTTGAGAGTAATATTGAACTCAGTGAGGTTTGATTCTAAGCAAACATATAAAGGATCATTTTATGGTCCCATAATTCTATTGTGGTTACACAGGACGGATATACTTCTGCCTTCAAACAGTACTGTACTAGGCATTAGAAAGGATTTGTAAAGTCAGGGCTTTTTGCCATTTACTCTTGTCATCCATTCTTTGCTTCATTAACACAGGTGTCCAGAAGGTCTTCAAAGCACGTGCTGTCAAACTAGAACATAAATATATTTGACTTAAAAAAATTATTCCAGGGGAAACATCTTAATTATGGGCAATTAATTGGAGATGGAATTCTATCTGTCTTTTTGTTGTCCACTAAGAAAATGTTCTTACAATTCTTGCAGTAAAGAACAATGTGAAAAATATGGGAAATTCTACTCACGTAGTCTCCGCTATACATTCTGGCACAAGTAGAAATCAAGTCTGAAGGTGGATTCAGAAGAGAAAATGGCAAGTGGGATATGGGTGGAGGAAGGACCCAAATGCGGTTCAGCTGTTAGGCTGAGAAGAACAGGCAGGACTGTGCAATCAAACTGATAATTTTCTCCAATCACTTTAGGTTCCAAGGTAACTGGGAAGGAGGGGGACTTGATAGCATGTGCTCCTTGCCTTCACAGCAATCACAGTGTGTACTTAGCCATTACGCAGATGTGAATAAACAGAATTATTTCATAAAATAAACACAGATTTAGCACAACATCCTATTACCTACTGGTTGAATCAAGAGACTGAATCTGACAAATCACAGAACAAAAGTATTAATCTATAGAAACAAGGGTGTTAATGATTCACTCTAATCAGCCCTCGCTCATGGTTTACTGTTACTGAGTCAGTCTCCTGAAAGGAATGGGGTGGGGGACTACACAAAAGGCTGAAACTTTGCAGTTTGTGTGTGTGTGTGTGTGTATATATACGTATATATATACACACACACTATATATACATTATCTATCTATCTATCTATCTATCTATCTATCTATCTATCTATCTATCTATCTATCTATCTATCTGTCTGTCTGTCTGTCTGTCTGTCTGTCTGTCTAATGGATTTTATATTTATTCTGCAGTATAATGCATTTCAAGTGAAGGTATGCAGAGTAATATAACATTCATAGAATGACAATGAGGGCTTATATACCACCTTTCTTCATAATAGCCAATGGCAATTCACAAGCTACATAAAAACCACACAATTGTCACACATTGAGTGTAATAACCTGCTGGCCCAACCAAAGTAGCACAAAAATGTGTGCAAGCTTTCGAGTACTTCAGATATCTTGGTACTACAGAGAAATCAATTGTGATGTCAGTTTATAATAATGGAACTTTTAAATTGCTGAATGGAGATGTGCTGAGACCTTCTGAGATCTTGAAAGCTTGCATGGCTTTCTCTTAAGAAATTACAAAACGGAGAGGAAAACAACTGCACAACACTTCTGCAGTCATTGTATCAATACTCAAAGGCTAAGCTTGGGGTGCAGCACCACTAATTTCATATCCCAGAAGATGAAGGGCAGGTAGGGAGGGGGAAAGGATATAAAATGTAGAATGAAAATGTGGCTTCCTGGATTGCTTTTAAAGGGAGAATCAAAGAGAATCATTTCCATTGCCCTCATTCACCCCCTTCTCTGTGACAATCTTATAAAGCTCCTCTGCTCAGTAGTAAGACCAGAGCTTTCTTCTGAAGGTCAGGAAAAATGAACAGGAAAAATAAAAATAAGCAGAGCACTCCTAGTCAGTAGAACCTTGGCCAAAAGGCCTTTTTGCCCTTTCTGTACTACTCTATTATCTGGCCTTGCTGTTTGGGTTTTCCATTCAGAGGAATGGAATAGTTCACAGAAAACTGGAAATACACAAATATCATCATGAGCATAGGTCAGGTTGAAATGCATCCAGAAGGGCACAGGTGAGTCAGACACTAAATCTTTGTGCCATTGCTTGGTGGTGCACCAGGTCGGGGCCCAATGCACATCCCTATTCGAAATTGTGCTGGAAGTACTTTGGACCTTGAAAACACATTCCCTGCATTCCAAAGCTTTTTCCTCTTTGTATAACAATACAGTAGTTGCTAATCCAGTTCTACAGTTCCTTCAATATGTAACTGTCTTTGCTCCAAAAGACTAAGCTTTCAATCCTTCTCATTTTTTAAAATTGTACTCGGGGAAGGGCATATTTTGTGGATTAAGGAACAGGCTGTAGGAAAGGATAGTTAATTTTCTTGATTATTCTTTGAAACGTATCTAATTACACAGGGTCTATGTGATTATACAGGGTTCATGGTGGCCACTTCTAATGACCTTGAAAAGTGGGTGAGGGCTGACGGTGACATATCAAACTGGACGGCAGGGACACAGAAGTGGGTATTATGGTTGCAAAATCTCATTTATTTGAAAATTCCCTGAATTTCATTTTCTTTTCTCGTAGCATACACTGGTAGCATAGCTTCATTAACACAAAAACTAAGGGACATCTTGGTAATGTTTTCCATTTGTTGTTGCTTTCCTTGGACATACATAAACACTGGATCCCACCATTCTATCAAATGATACCAGTTCCACTGCCTTCTAATGTGATGGAAAAAAATCAGGGATTTCCCCCCTCCTTTGGTTCTCCCTTGCTGCAATGTGAGACAGCTGACAGAGAGCAAAACCTGATCTTTGTCCAAAACAGTAGCATGACTGATGCAGAAGTAAACTTCAAATTGCCTCAGACTAATGATGTCGCCAAAGATGCCCCTTACCTTTCTCCCATAAGTGAATATCTATCATTCACTACTACAGAAAAAGTGAAAACCTGCACCTGATGACATCTTAGTGATGAAGGAGAATATCCGTACAACCCCTGAAATTGTTTCCTGCCGTAAACTTACAAGGACTCCTTGTAGGGTCTCTGTGCCTGCACATTAACACAATGTGTCTTCTCTGACTCTATCTCTACCCACACACTTTATTCTCTTCCTTCCCTCCATCTCATAATTTTTTTATGTTGTCCATTTTTTTAAAAAAATGACAGCAACATAATAAAAATAATTAAACCCTAGTAAAAACAATAATAATCATGTACCATCAAGTCATTTCCAACTTAAGACAACCTTCTCAGGGTTTTCTAGGCATGAAGTACCCTTAAGGGGGATACCATCCCCTTCTTCTGGGGGTACTGTAGGACTGTGCATCTTGCCCAAGGACACAGGGGTAGCAGGGCATGTAACTCCTTCAGCCCCATACACATCATGTGACTTCAGCTGGCTTCTTTTGTGGGAACTCAAACCCCCAGCCCATGACTCCGCAGTGTGTTGCTCCAACCGAGCTGAACAGGCTCAATCGCACGTTATAAAACCAAAAGTTGTACCAACATAACCAAATAGACATTCAGTTCATTTCGGTAGCACTTGATGCTGGGAAGTGTTGCACACTACATTAGGAGTTCTCAAAGTTATGCTACAAACCCCTTAAGCTTCATAATCCCCACTTGATACCAAGAAGTTAAATAACTTGACAGAGTTTACACAGTGTATTTTCTCCTTCTTTCCTCTCTTCTGACACCCTTCTCTGACATTCAGAAATATTAACTTAAGAATAAAAAAAAAAATTAACTTGTCTATGCACCCTCTATTAACAGGTTTTGTGGGGTTGTTTGTTTTTTGCGGGGAAGAGTTTCCAAAACGTGGTTAAAAATGCTGTCATTCTTTACTCCAGTATAGTATAACAGGGATTATAGATGTCTGGACATAAAAAGAAATCCAGCAGTGTCAAATACTTGAGTGATTAGGGATTATGGAGTGATTTGTACATTAAGTCAGTTCTTAAATCTGGCACATAATGGGAAGAGGCATAGATTGCACACAACACTTAACTTCTATAATAACTATGTCAACTATTAGGGAGAGATCTAAGTTATTAAATGAATAATTCAAAACTGAAGTCACATGTACAGTAAAAAGGAACCTGCAGCCGGCCAATTATCTGTCAGTAAACTGTGCCATAAAAGCTAGCGTGATTCATTGGCTAAAATCCTCTTTGCGCAGGTGTAACATAAAGTTATACCTGCATAAGTGTGCTGGTAATTATATCTGGCAGCGGGGAATTGGGCAATATGATTGCACAAGTCCCATTGCCCCCATTGCAGTGTGCAAACAGAAGCACTTCATGGATAGCACTTCCATCTTGGTCCTTTATAGTTGTCATGAGTGTAATATTGAGTTATGCTTGTGCAGCTACCTAGTAAGATTTTGTCCAATGAGACCTGAAATATTAAATCTTGTTTTATCATATACTGCATATATAAGATACAGATATATGTATGGTAGTACAAAAGTTAGGTTTAATTTTGGCACACATCTGTGATGGACAGGGATCTAAAAAAACTAATCATTTTAATGGAATAAAAAAATAAATAAATGTTAGACAGTCCTGGAAACTAATTTTTAATTATAACCAGGATATTGCCAATCATTCTCTGCAGTAGCAAATGAATGCCATTGATATTTCTTCGTGGTTTTTAATACTGAAGGCAGGGGCATACATTTCAAAAGGAATTACTTTCTTTTACATTATTTTCAGAATGGAGAGAGGCTTGCAGACTTCTGTAGCAGCCTAGTTAAGTTGTATTTTCATCTTCAATGCTGAAAAAATTAGTAGCCAAACAAAAATCTTCGTGAAGTACAGATTACCATGACCTTCAATGTCTGACATATGGATATTCCACTGAATTTCATATTACTTTCTCCTTGTGCTTGTAGAGTATGTTGTTGTTTTCATTTGATTAGGGGGAAAATTCAAAGTTTCTCTTCTCTGCAAAACCAGAGTCCTCTTGTTTATACCACAGCAATGCTACTGCTTTGGAAACTGGGCCAGTGGAAAGCAGGTTTTAGAAGATGGTATCCATCTTTTACTCATCTTACCACCGGTATGGCCATTAATTTTTTATACATCCTTTGTAGCTTGACTCCTTTTTTAAAAAAATTCCTTCAGCATAACAAATGTTCTGTAGAACAGAATCTCACCTTCCTTTCCAGTGTCTTCCTGCACAGCAGTGGGTGTGTCCTTATTATGTTTCCCCTTCTTGGGGCTTGTCCACAGTGATGTTTTCTCTTGTTGTTCTGTGTCATTCTGGTATTTCACTGTTGTTGTTGTTGTTGCAAATTTGGAAGGTTTTTGTTGCTAGATGTACTGGGTCATCTTTCTACTCCTTGTCAGAACACATCTGGAATTGCTCCCTAATACCACAGTCCCACCAGAGACTGACTCCTCTTTTGCCCATCTTCTCCAGCCTCTCCTTGCTTGCTTCAGTCTCTTATCTCTTTCTTGTTTCCCCATCCTTGGAGAGTGACCAGGCCCAGTATTGTGTGTGCAAGGAAAATTGAACAGATGCTCAGTGTGGATGGACTCTCAGTCATGGTTCTTAGAATAAATAGGGCACAGCTGCATATGAGAAAAAATAGCATCCATCTTTTCTTGCTTTTTATACGTCTTGCTCTCTAACTTGTCTTTGAGGGCTGCCTTCCTTATTTTCTTCATTAATTTTCTCTTCCTCTTTCCCTCCCTCCCTCCCTCTTTTTTCTTCAGTTAGGTTTTAGGACCTGTGATGAAGGCATTTGCACTGTGCCCTTTCCTACCCTGCTTCTCAAAAAGGCACAACCGTGATTGCAATGTTTATTAAAATTCTGGTTGACCTTGCCTTTGTTGGTGAAAATCCTGACTAAAAACAATTCGGTGTAATTAATTTCTAATTAGATAGCCCTATACTTAATAAAAGAATACTTTAATTAAAATGAGGAATAAAAATGAGCTGGCATCAAATTATCATATTCAGTCCCTGGAAATGAGATTCTGGCACATCCATCATGCATATTAATTAAAAACAAAGTTCATTTTGTTGCTGTATAATAGGCTTCAGGTGTTGCTGCAGAGTCTCCTTAGAGACTTGAAATGTGTGGTCAAGTAAATACACTTCGTAGCTTTGTTAGGTCTGCAAGTACTAATGACAAACATTAACGTATGCTCCACAGATATTCAATTTTTCCCTTTTGTATCTCTAAGCAAATAACATAGTGCCATGATATATAATGGTTCAGCTGCAAGAAGTAATGATAGAACACTGAAGTGGCCAGAAATGAGAAGCCTTATTTTACCCAGGGATTCGTTAACATGGCTGATTGATAGCAATGTAAAGTTTGGAGAAGAGAAGTACCAATGAGTTAATTCAGGGGTGGGCAAAGTGTGGCCTCAGGGCCACTTGCAGTTCTCCAGGTCCCCAAATGGAGCTTTCTAGATCCTTTGCTCTTTGGCTCCCCGCACCCCGCACCCTTTTAGAAAGGTTGCTCAGAAAACTCCCTTGTGCTCTCCAAATGGTGCAGTGAGGCTATTTTGCCGTATTTGGTGGGTCCTGCTCAATCCTGCCCTCCAAATGGTGCAGTGAGGCTATTTTGCCATATTTGGTGGGTCCTGCTCAATCCATGGCACCTAAAGTCTAATTAATTTTTTTTATTTGCCACCAGAGGGTGAATGTGGGCTACATGAGCAGGATATGTATGTGTATGTGCATTTTTTTAAAAGGAAAACTATTTTGGGAGCATATTTCATGGCACCTAAAGTCTAATTAATTTTTTTATTTGCCACCAGAGGGTGCATGTGGGCTACATCCGCAGGATATGTATGTGTATGTGCATGGTTTTTTTTTTGAAGGAAAACTATTTTGGGAGCATAAGAGGTCTGGAATAGATGTGGCCTTCCTTTGTCCAGGGATTGGTGTGTGCAGTCTCTGGACCTTTGAAAGGTGCTTGTCTCCAATTTAGCTAATTGCTGGGCGGTTGCCTTTAGATTCGGGAGACTGGCAGCTTCTCCTGGTCAAATGGGATGATCTCTGCTTTGGGACAAACAATAGGAGACACTCGGGCACAACCCCAGAAATGAGGTCAATGTGCTAATAACAGGTTGATTGGGTCTTGCCACAGGACATCCCCTTCTCTCTTATGCAGGTTGGTGCCTCTGTACTGTGAAGTCACATGAAATTGTGGTTAAATAAGACCTCCTTGTGAAGCTTGTCAGAGAATTCTGCCATTGCATCAAACTCATGCAATACTGGTAACCAAGAGGAGTTCTGGCCTTTTGGTCCAGGATAGTATCTAATGTCCCTTAACTCCTTGTTTCTCTCTCCCCCTCCCCCACATTGGTTTCCAAAAGTCTGTTCTTCATATTCTCTTTCCATTCTGTCCCCTCTCCTCAAAGTCATGGTATTCATGTGCCCTCTTCAAGGTGTTAGAGACTGCATGGAATAACTGTACACAAATGTCTGTTTTGAAAATTTCAGCCATATTGGTGAGAATTGGAATTTTATGTCAATTTAATCAGATTTCAACATTGGAAGGAGAAATACAGTAGTTCAAAAGTTACACAGAGGTTGGGATCATGATTAGATGTGATTGTAAAGCTCTGCTCTTTTCCTCCTAAGATTTGGGTTTTGCACTACCACTATGAGTGGCAACAACTGCAACTGCACCCTGGCTACCACAGTTCCCTCTGTTTAGTGATGTTTTAGGGCATCCCTGAAGCAGGGAGGGACACACTCCTCAAACAGGTGAAAGGAACTAAGGAAATGGAACCTTGTTTGGAATGCACACCTCCACATGGTGAAGGGGTTTGGGTGTGTTAGTGAAGCAGAGAGCAATTACGAGCCTGGACTCCTAACAGAGCCTGGACTCCTAGCAGGGTAACCCAAGGCAGAATGGTCTCACCTGAATTGGCAGACTAAGATGCATCCATTCTCTTCAAGTCAGCTACTGGGCAGCGGTGGTAGCTCAAGGTGACACTGGTGGAGGAGGCAACAGCAGTGACACTCAAGCTAACTTTTGTTACTACTGTGCATAAGGTGGCATTGGTAGACTCTTGCAGGACTTTCCTTACCATGAAAATCCAATGACAAGACAGTCCAAAATGAAGCAAGAGATAGTGCTCCAGCTTTGCCCCACCCAACCCCAATTTCAGTGCTCTTATACATTTGGAAGGTGATGAGCCTGAAAAGGATGAACTCTGCTATCTGTGAGGGCTCTCAATGTGAATTGGGAACTGGAATTTTCCCCGAGGTTCTGATTCACAAGATCTCCCATGGATATCAGATGCAGTCTCTCTTCAATCACTCTTCAGGCTTCCTGGGCTCCATGTGTAGTAGTGTAATGAAAGTGATGACAAACAGGGATGGGATGAGAATGTCCCCCTCTTTGTACATTCCTCTCTTTGTATTAGTATTTTACACAATGGACTATGGACTATGGACAGTTCACTTTCTGCTAAATTTCAAAAATGTAGCTTAGCTGGTTTTACTTTCTTTTAAGAGTTTCTAAGGAGAAACCCTTCCCATTTCTTTATTGGCTCAACATCTTACAAGCTGGCTGTCATCTTCATTCAGCAGTGCTTATGTGGGATGAGCTAGCCTAATTAATATGTTAGTAGGTTCAGGCACAGGGACTGAGCCCCAGTTAGCATCATGCTACTGCTAATGAACATGCTTAGCATCCATGCCAGCATACTGTAGGACAGCCACTGTAAGAAAGTGAAAAAGTAACTTTTCCAGGCTCTGAAACTATATATATGTCCATACAAACTACATGTGCAATATGTTGCATATAAATTGCATATAGAGAGTTTGTGAATGGACAGTATATGCACTTTTTCAAAAGAACTGTGAAGACAGGGAAGTCTGTAACAGAGATAGTGATCATAATTGCTCTTTCCCTCATTGTGTTTTATATCTCTAGCTGAAATCCTGTCATAGGTTGCAAATAGAGTAGAACCATTTTCAGTGGAACATGCAGATGAGTAAACTTGCTAAACTCCCCACTGATTCAGTGGACCTACTCTGACTGCAACTTATGACTGGATTTCAGCCTCTGTGTACCAACTGTACAAAATAGCTGAAGCATTATGTCACCTAAAGAAAATAATTACACAGATCATTTTATGCCTGTTATACTTCCAGTGCCTCATTTTAAGATATACATACTTGGGTCTTACCTTCTAATCTAAAGCATTGGACTGAAGCCACCCCCCATTAGACATGCTGGTTTGCCAACTGTGCTTATGGAACTCCTGAGAAGGGAGAATGAAAATTATTTATGTAATGGAGGAAATATATCATTTAACTGTTTTGCTCTGGGTCTTGTTTGATCTCTCCTCTTCTTTACTTTTCT